TTTCCGCGAGCATATTCAGATGTTAATGAAATTTTATTACCAAGAGTATTAGTCCAAGCAGGATCTAATAGAAAATGTGAATTTGGTGTTACACATAATGGATTTTGTTTAAAGGTATAGTTTATAAAATATTTTATGGATTCCATATAAAGAATTTTAGAATTATGGTAAACATATTGGGGCGGAGGGAGTGGTTTTAACATATACCCTTAGAAATTGTATATTTTCTAAAATCTTATTATTGTTTCAGAAAAAAACCATTTTAGTTGGTGGAAGGAATATAACTGTAACCGCTGCGGACAGATCCCGTAAATTAAGGCATCATAACGGACATTAAATTTAAAATTGATGTCGATTTTAAGAAGCTGTGGCCTATTGAAATTACACGAAAAATATTGATTTGGTATCGATTTTATTTTCAAAATTATATTTAATGTAATTCGAATAAAATTTAAAAAATTCATTATTTAAAAATAATTTTTTTAATTATATTTGAATATTAAAAATTTCGAAAGCCTATGTACAAATAAAATACTGAATCATATATAAATGTTTATAAATAATATTTGATCTTATTTAAAATAAATATGGCGTTTGTAGATAAATATTTTGAGTCAAAGGTTATGTAGATGCGGGATCGCTTTTGATAAAATTTCTCAAATATACGTCATTCTAGAGATGCTTGCCATTCGTCTGTCTTTATTAGTTAGATTTGAGATGTCGTGGCTATATAGTTTTCAATATATTTTTTTTGATTTATGAAAAAATTGAATTATAAATATTTTGAAATTATCACTCATGTTATTAGTTTTTAAATTTTATTGTTAAATGGTTTAGATTCCCGAAGATAAAGGCAAAATTTAATAATTCAATTTTGAATGCAAATAGAACACGTTATTCGCATAAATTTGACTGAGGTGTGTAAGGGTAATATTAAAATACTTATTGTATTCTATGGAAATTTTACAAATTTAATCAGAACGCCAAAATCTTTCAAGTACATGAATTCTTGCAATAACGAAACAAATTTCTTTTTATCGAAATTGCAAAGAAGATGATTTATTTCGTGATTTTATAAATAATAGCACTTCTGAAGAAGAATTAAAAAAATAAAATATTTGAAAAACAAAAAACTAAAAAATTTAATTGAATAACATTTTAACACCATCTGGCCAAATATTTACCCAAAATCTTTTAAATATTTTGAAATTCATACTTTTATTATTTTTTAATAAAAGTTCATATAAATACAGTTGCAAGCTAAGCCTTCATAACGCTCATAAAATAACCTATATAATTTTTATAGTACTCAAAATCCAGATTTTCGCATACATATCAAAAATAAAAAAAAAATTAGAAATATAAAAAATTTGCATATTTTTAGGCAAATGCATTTTGATCAAAAAGAACCACGAATTAAATTTTTGTTAAGGTTGGTAACTATTTTTTTGTTATTTTGCCTAAGAGTGTATGCTGTATTAACATGTTATATGAGAAAATAAATAAATTTATACAATAACAACATAATTTGGGAAGCAAGCGATCCCAAATTAAAACTACTAAATTTAAATATAAAAAAATATTCTAAAATTTTTAGCAGAATTAAATAAAATTAATTTTAGACAGCATTGTTTCTGGTATGTTAAAAAAAATAATGATTTGTGAAAAATGTAATTTGACTTTAGATTTAGGGAGTGCTGAATTTTCTTAATAATATATGTAATACTAAATGGTGCAACAGTGCATATTTGTAATAATTTGAATTATTATGAATAACTTAAAAATTTCGAGTTTTATAGATTGACGATTCGTTTTTTATAGAAATATCTGAACAGACAATTTATTTTTGTGCAAGAGTTATAATAATTTGATGAAATGCGCATAAAATCTGTTACAAATTTCATTCAGATAAAATTATTTAGAAATCTCAATAAGATGCCCAGAAAAATATCTTTTTTTTTTCAATTAAATGTTTAATTACATAGAATATTAGAAATTTAAATGAAATTAAAATTTTTTAAATAAGAAGAGTTTATTCTTTTTGTTTTTGCCAGCCTATAATAAGAATTATGTAAAGAGTCATTACGTTAATAACTTTTGTTTTTTTAATATAATCTTATTAACTTTAATTATTAAGTTCATATATATGTTTTTTTCCTGGAATTGGAATTATATATTTTAAAATTTATTCTTTATTGACTGTGATTATTTAAATTCATGAGAGTAAAGTTCATAATTTTGAACTTAAAAAAATAAGATCGGTCAAAGTTTGAGGTTGCTATGTCGAACCGATACCACAATTTAATAAACTATATGTAAAAAGAATTTAATATGAGACTGTCTTATGACATAAAAAAAAAAGTCCAACATTGGAAAATGGAAAAATCTTACTTTTTATAAATTTAAAAATTATAAACGATCCGTAGTTGGTACTTCTATTTCTTAATGACGTTATTTTAATCGAATTTCCATGTTGGTTGTTTTAAAATAATAATATCTACTTATATAAAACGAACATCTTTAATTCAACAAGTTTTCTTCTTTAGAACAACTGATTTTCTTATGATAAACAAGCAAGAATAGCACCAAGTAAATAAATTCCTCACTTAATATCAACTCGTTTTGTTAGTGTGTCATATAGGAATTTCATTCTAAATTAAAAATGGAACAAATTTCTTTTACAATATTATTGGACTATTAGTATCATTTGCGTAAAAATTCTTAAAAATGGAAAACTCCAATATTATAGAAGCAGTAATAATTGAAGAGTTACATATATGCATGTCATATAGATACATACATACCTCTAATTTAATTTACATACATTTTTTTCCAAAAAAATATTTCAAATTTCATTATTTACGTATGAAACTCATTAAACCCCTACTTTGATCGATTAAAATAATAATACTTTGTTTTTGATCATTAACAAAATACTGTAAATACTTTCTGGGAATACCGAACTCGCATGAAATTAAATAAACAGTATAACTTTTAAATCAGCAAAAATTCATAATAAAATTAAAATAATTAGATTAATAAAAACAGAAAAGTATATAAAATAAAAATAATTTAGTACGACCATTTGGCGAAAATTTTAATCAATAAAATTTAAAATAATCATCTTCCTCGCGTGTTAATTTAAATTCTATGTTGTTATTATAGAATACTGTATAAATGCATATTAATGTGTCAAAGGTCATTTTAAGAATAAAATCATTATCATCCCAACAATGGAACGTATTTCGAATGGCATAATTTAGAATATTTTTTGAAAAAAAGAAATTTCTAAAGCATATTTTCAAACTAAAGGCTTTTGTTTGCTGCTAGACCTACAGTGAATTAATTTAAAATAATAATTTTGTACAAAAGCTACTATTTATGTTGCAGCTTTTCATTAAAATCATAAACTTTGATAACTATATTAGCATGTTTTAATGAAAGTGAAGCGTTATGCGCATTGCAAATATGAATTGCAATATTGTTATGCAACTAGCACAGAAAACACTTGAACAAATATTATTAAATTGCATAATTTTTATAAATTTTTTATGACAATTGGATAAAACCGAATAAGTCAAAATTAGTACTGTCTAGTAAATCAAATGTAAATTTTAAAATATTTTTTTCGAAAATTTTAAAGACATTTTTCCGCATTTAATATTTTTTGTATAATAATATTATTTTTTAGATTCTTGATTTAGATTCTGGTTTAGAAAGCCATTTATTACCTTTTTCTTATATAAAAATCTTCTCGAACTTAACAAAATTTTTGAAATTATTGAAATAATTATTTTTTTTAATTTAGCTATACTTGCATAATTAAAATAATTGTTAGATAGTATGTAATTGGAAACGGAGAATGTAAAAAAATATCAAAAAAAATTTTGATGTCGTGTTAGGTCAGCTTAAGCAATTTTTACCCTTAATACAGAAATCTTAAGTAAATTTAATATCAAATAGTAAAAATTTAAATTTACAAGCTCTTAACTAAATTATTGGAATTATAAAAAATGTGCTTCTTTCATTCCATAACATTTAATACTAAACTGAAAATAAATCTTTCTTATTATTACGAGTATTTTTCTCATTATTATTATTATTATTGTATTAAATTCCTTAATCATAATCATATTGAAATTCTACGAATCATATTATTATTATCATATAAAATATTAAGAATAATAATTATTTAAAATTTCATTATACATATATTTATTATCATCATTATAATAAAATATTTAAGGGTCTTGCTCCATGTTATAGCATAAATGTCTCGTTTTTTACATACGATGTTGTACAGAAACAATTAAAGTGAATTGAGGCATAATATATATATATATATGTGTATGCATATATATATGTATATGCACATATGTAGACTAAACCTTAATTTGTTTAAATTTTTTTATTATAATTATTTTTTTTCTTTTCATATCAGTGATCGCTAAAGATGACAGACTTATTTCAATATAAAAAATTAAAGTATATATGAAGAAAAAATTGATTATAGTGCGCAATAATCAATAAAATTTAGATCATTTTTTTATTCCAATATAAGCTATATAATTAAAATGAAAAAAAAAAAACAAGAAAAATACAAGAAAAAAAAAATTAAATAGAAAATTAAAATCTTAAAAAGCAGATGAAATTGGAAATAAAATTGTGATACAATTTAAATTTTTCGATTAGTTCAATTGTAAATTTGAATAAGACAAGATATTTTAATAGAAAATTAAAAAAAAAAAAATTTAAATAAATTCATAACCTATATAATATTTAAATGAATTAAAATTAAATTAATTGTATTTAAAGAAATAAAGACATTTGAATAAAATAGAAGAAAATTACGGGAAATTTGTCAAAAAATTTATGGGAAATTTGTCATTTTATAAAACGTAAAATATAATAAAAGAAAACAGTATATAAACACAAGTATTACACATATATACATATTAATTATTTAAATAAATTTAATAAATTAAATAATTATAACGTAAAAGAATATTAAAATTTTTTTGTTTTTAACCATGATACGAATTTACGTCATTTATTTTATTTGTATTTTTGAAATAATTCAAATTATAGAAAATTGTAGTGCGCGTCCAACAACAAATAACAATAACAATAATAATAATAATGATAATCAAATAATATTAAATGAATCAAATGAAAATAATAATTCAAATAATTTATTAAATAATAATAATTTAAATGATAATACAAATTTATCTAAAAGATCTATTGTATTTTCATCATCAAATAATTGTGATAAAGTTGAACATACAGGAAAATGTCCAGTAAGTTTTTTTTTTTTAATTTTATATTTTAAATTTGGTATTATGAGAATATTTTTGTATGTAATTATTGTAAAATAATAAAAATTTACACTGGTATGCAAAATGACTTCATTTTCAACTTAATCTACTACATACTTAATAATTTAATTTGTAGTGTTTTACTATCATTACTTATTAATGTAAACAAGTAATTAATTTTTGCCATCAAGAAAATAACTCGCATATTTTAATTGTGTAAATTAATAACTACCGAGAAGTTTTCAATTTATTTAATGGTGATCATTTACTTGTACAATTATATTATACACAACTATTGAAATCAAAAATTGTGTATTCAAAATTTATTCAAAAAATTGTGTAGGATTCGATTATATAAGAAGAACAACCCACAAAATATTACCCTTACTAAAAGAAAATTACCCACAGAGCAAATTACATTTAAAATTTAGAAAAAACTCAAATAAAATATTCGAATTTTCTCCTAAAATGCATATAATATGTGTATGAAATGCTGTCTTGCCCATACAACTACTTTCATCTCCATGTTAAAAACATGGACTTTGATTATGACCAAATTCCAATTATCAAATATATCATATTGCAATAGTTTTCAAATATTGAATAAATTTATATTTCACAGTTTTGTTAGATTAAGTTATTATTTTAGTTTTGCTTCAGTAATGCAATACGGCAACACTGTACAATTATATTATTGAAACAATTTGATTATCATAATTTAAAACAATTCACCTTTTTCAAATTATGGTGAAAAAATTGCTTGTTTATTTTAAATGTGATGTCATAAAAAACGTCAGAATATTATTATGTTGTGTAGATATATATGAAAGTGACATGTTGTTATATAGTCACGCCTTTCACATGCTGAGAAAATTAAATTTTTATGCATTAGAAATTGACTCGCAATATTTTTAATATGGTAATATTTTACAATTTTCAATATTATTTTAAAATTTATTTTGTATAACACATTTAAACAAAAACCAATTTTAGTTTACTTTGTCAAATTTAAAAGCACGTGAAATAATCAAGCGAATTTGTTTTAACACGTGCTCTTTTACTCTCCTTTATTCAACAACATAAGTACAAAGAATATAGATGAGGCGTGTGTAGAATTGCGTTTTAGTTATTAATATCAGTAAACTATTATATTTTCTTATAAAATTTAAATTTTTTTAAATATTTTTTGCATTTGTATAACTAATTAATTTTATTTTATGTTTTATTTTAGGATAGATCAAAAAATAAAAAACTTGGTGCAACATCAAAAACTGGTATCGAATTATTAATATCAACTTTATCAACACCAGGAGAAGCTGATCTTAAAAATAATGACGATCATCCAGCTGAAGCATTACCAGTTATTTCACACAATATGTTTGATATTACAAAAAGTTGAATCTTGCGATGAACTGGAACGTGAATGAGATGAAAAATTAATGTGGTTAAAAAATTATTATTACCATTAATATTACCACATAACCCTACATATTATCATATTGAAAGATTGAATTCTGAAGTAATGGGAATTTCAATGTATTTTAAACATTCCAAATATTCTGACTGAATTTGAACAGTGAATAAACCAGAACGACAAGGATTTATAATGAAATCGTCAAACTTTTATGTTATAAAAATACAAGGGACATTTTAAATAATTGCAAATATGTTTTGTATGTAAATAATTTTCATATTGAAAAATATAAAAGTTGTGATTTGATTTAATTATACTTAAATATTATGTAGATAGATGTAACACAATGTTCATATTTATAAGAATATTATAGCTTAAACTATTTACTAGATTGTTATAAAATTATATTAGACGTATTATAAGAGAAGAAAGTACTTATTTTTTACTTAATGTATTTAAAAATATAATATAAAAGTAATTAAGTATCTATTAGTTTAAAATTATATTTTGTGTTTTATTTGAAAAAACAAAATGTTATATGAAATTTTTGCTTCCAATCACTTGCATTTTTAGGATATGAACAAAATAAATGTTAAGGCGCTATAGAACTAAAAGCTAGGGAAAACACAAGTCTTAAGCAGTCTACGTAATGTTTGTTGGGAAAAGAAACTGTATGGAATGTTAACTACCATTTTTATGGTGTTATATTAAAAAATCCTGAGTACATTCCATAATTTAAAAAGTTACAAAATAATGTGAATTGGTTTTTCTATCTAGTTTTATTTTATCCCGTGAACAACTTAAGGTATTTTTAGCAGGCAAAATTATTATGGCAAAACTATTCCAGTCCACTTAACGTAAAATTTCGATTTTAAGATACTTAAATTTTACATATTCTAGCCCATATTACGATCTAATAAAATTTGTTGTATAACATATTTATGTATTAAGTATGAGTCACGAAAAATAGTCGACAGAATTTATTCTTGAAAGTATATTCAAATCTTTTAGAAAATATTGTGGATTATACTAAACTTTCCAATCAAACTAATAGCATTGCTTAATAATTCCTATTAATACTATATTGATTTGATTAGAAACCTGATGCATTTTAGTTAACATAACTAAAGTAGTATGTAATATTCATCAAATGCGCAGTATTTAAAAAATTCATTCTTTAATGTTCAATGTATTATATAGCTGTAATATATAATTTGTTTCAAAATTTGTATTGATTATGAATTACATAAAACATAATTTCCGGTGATTTGTAAATAAATTCGCTGAGCTGATAAGATGAATATTGCAATATTTTTAATATATTAATGAATTACGAAAACTATCTCTCGAATAATTATTAAAAATATTGCATCATCTATTAAAGTATTAATTAAATTTTAATAAAATAAAATACAACCAAACTAATTGCAAAAAAAAAAATGACAAAGAAATTATAATGGTACACCTATTATAGTTTTTTAGAATGAATACATATACATGTACTTACTTTTGGCAATTTCAGTACTTGTGTATGTGTCGTTTGAATTAAATTCGAGTTATACTTTGCAATTTTAAAAAGGGGTCATTTGTAGGATAGAATTAATAAATACTCTAAAGGCCAATAATTTTATCTTTATCAGTAATTTTCACAAATCATAAGTTTACTGAAAAAAAATTCAAATATTTCTGTAATGGAGAATATTTAAGTAGCATCATATAGATACGCATCTGTAGCACCTTCACAATAATTCGATTAAGGAAATAAATTAATATCGATACTATTTTTCGGTTTCCGGTTTTTGCATTATCAAGTTTTTAAGAATTCTCTTAATGGAAAAATTATTCAGAAAAGTGTATAAGTAATTATCACTGTTTATATTTTTAATATAAAGCACGACAATCCTTATTTAAAATGTCTGATGTAATGTTCATTATGAAAAGAAAAAATTAAACTAAAGAATTTCGAATGTCTGCGGTTTTAATTGATTTGACGTAATAGTCCGAGTAATTATAGATATTTTAATGATTCAGAATATACAATACAATTAGAATTAATATTATGGAAAAATACATTAATATACTAGTGTAAGTAATATCAATTAATTATTCACAAGTAAGCGAATAACTTATATTCTACTTAAGAGAATATTGTTATAATTCTAAGTATTGTGATTTTTTAATAGATAAATGTGATAATTATTATTTCATCAAATTAATGAAGATATTTTGTTTTAATTGGAATTAAAAAAGCAAGTAGAGAGTCTGTGACACAAATGTTTTAGCTATTATCGAATTTAAAGCAGAATTTTCTAAGAAACGAAATATGCATAGGAATCAGTCAGTAGAGCATGGACAACTAGATTTTAACTATCAAATGAAAATCTATGGATTAATCGTTGACTCAATTGAAAATATTTCCTTTCGAGTTAATATTCTTAATTTTATTCTTAATAGTCTTTCCTTAATAGTCCGAGTAATTTTTCAAAACTTGTAATTCGTGAGCCGCAATCAAATAAGTATTAAAAAATTCCCGTTTATAAATTATGTTGGTATAGTAAGAGTGATTCCAAATTTTGCCTCCAAAGCACAATATCATAAAGTGTCCATTGCAATTATTTTATTTAGGCAGTTTTTGATGACTCATATAATTCTTAGCTATAGAAAGGAAATTAAAGTTGCTTTTTTATACCCTGCACTTCGTGAAGAGTATATTAACTTTGGTATGGAGTTTGTAACTACTTGAAGGAGTCATCTGCGGTATGGACATATATATATATTCTTGCTCAGCGTAAAATTCTGAGTCGATTTAGACATGTCCGTCTGTCCGTCCGTCCGTCCGTCCGTCCGATCGCACGATAACACAAAAACGAATAATGCAATCGACACCAAAATTTCACAAGTTTTTTCTTTTGTGCCAAGGACGAGCCCTATTGTTATTGGACTAATTCGGACAACGGGTTCGGGTAGCTGCCATACAACTCAAAGAGTTTATTTTAAATATTTCAAAAACTAATAAAGGTATAAATATAAAATTTTGTATACATGTGTCCAATTATATTCTGCACATGCTCTAAAAATTATTATGGGATAGCTGCACCGGTTCGGGTGGCTGCCATACAACTCCAACAGCAAATTTTTTATATTCGGCAAAATAATAAAGTCAGATTCATGAAACTTGGCAGTCATGTGTCCAATCATAGGTCAAATATATATCTGAAGTTTTAGAGGAATCGCTTGACAGGTTCGGGTACCTGCCATACAACTCCAGAAGCTAATTTTAAATATTTGGAAAAATAATAAAGTCAGATTCATGAAACTTGGCAGTTGTGTGTCCGATTATAGATCAGATATATTTGTGAAGTTTTGGTGGAATTGCTTGGCAGGTTCAGGTACTTACCATACAACTCCAAAAGCTAATTTTAAATATTTGGAAAAATTATAAGGTCAGATTCATGAAACTTGGCAGTCGGATGTCCAATTATAGGTCAGACGTCCGTGAAGTTTATATAGAATGATTTTAGAGGTTCAAGTAATTGCTACACAATAACGAAAGGTGCAGGGTATAATTCAATCGGTTTATACCGACTGAAACGTTTTTACTTGTTTATATTTTGTTTTAAGTAATTGAAGTGGTATTTTAAAGCGGAACTATAATAATTTTTTTTTGAAATATAATAACACAAAAACTAAAAGAGAACTCGCGTTCTTTTATTGAGTGCCACAAATAATTGTTAAAAGAATCGCGGTTTGGCTACCTCTGTTATATACAATTCATGATAAATTTTAAATGATTGCATTAAAATTACTTGTAAAAAAAAATTCATTTATCATTGTTATAATTTACGTTAATATTCTTGACTCATCCTTTACAAATGATAAGAAGTGAAAGAGAAACTAGTATAATCTGACATTTTAAGTCTATGCTTTGTATATGTACGTATGTGATTTGAGATATTTTACGTATTCTGCTGACTTTAATTTCTGTTTTTGTTAAAAAATTTTTAATTTTGCTATTAATTGATTTCGATCATATTTTATGCGTAGTCTTCTTTTCTGTAAAATAATAATAATAAAAAAGAGTAGCAAAATACAAAAAACAACTTGAAGCGGAAAACTTTGATCAGACGCGTAATAATATTTTTATTGGAGCATGTTAAGTAGTGGATTATTGCATTCTTTGAAAAGGATTCCTTCTCTTTTCTTCTCTTTTGCTCTCTGAAATGAGTTCATTAACATTTGCGAATTCGAAACGTAATTTAAAAATTATTGAATGCGCATTAAAAATTTTAATATTTGAAAAAGATTTTTCAAAAAAAATTTTTTTTTTTTTATTAAAAATATACTTTTAGCAGCATATACGCGTCTTGTTGTTTCTTTATGATGATTTGAGAGACGTTAATAACCTACGTTACATACACTACAAACATATATTATAAAAAAAAGCAATCCGGCTTTGAAATTTTTGGAAGTCAATTACCTAATTTTTTACTTTTGGAGAAGAATTGAATATTTGTCAAAAATTATTGCGGTACTAGTTAGTACTGCCTGATTAGTGCCTCATCTTCTTATTGAAATTTTTAGTAACAAATTTACTTTATTTGGTTAGTAGATTTTAATGCATCCTAATTAGAATTCAAAAATTACTTTGTCTATCACTATACTATAATGAAATACACTTGCTTTAAATTTCAAAAATATTTCAATTAATGATAGATCTGGTGAATGAATCACAGGTTTTTCTAAAAATGTTGTTAAGGTTTATAATATAGAAAATTTTCATTTTAATTAGAGAACAATAATATTATTTTAAATTTGATAATATTATTGTATCAATATCCCGTATATAAATAAAAATTGCGCCGATATTGTCATTTTGCCTATTAAATATAAAAAAAAAAATATATATTTTAGTATGTGAATGAATTTTATAAATAAGGTCAATGTAATATTATAAAAAAAAATAATAAGTAGAAACGAAAATAATGAAGAAAAGCAAATAGTAAATTTGTATTACAGTTTAAAGATTATACTACTATACATTTATATATTTTTATATTAACGTATAAAGATAGACTTTATAATAGAATAGAGCGCCGTTCCGGTCTCTTATTCGTTATTGATATTATCATCAACTCTTTTGAATCTTGGACAAAATTATTTGCTGTAAGATATTTTTTCTTTTTAATAAATTGTTATATAATAATATTTAAACAGATATTGAAATTTATTTGAAAATTATATATCTATTATATACTCGTATATTACACTCTACGAATAGAATATATGTCAAATACAGAATGTAGATCACATATACCAAAACGCGTACATTATATTAATAAAATAGAACAGAAGTGGATGTTTTAAGAAAACTTGGGAATTGAAATATCTTTACTGTAATACATCTTTCAAATAATAATAATAT